TATTATCATTATTAATATTATTAATATTATTACTATTATTATTATTATTATTATTATTATTATTATGTTGAAATACGATGGTCTTATTCTAGATCTCGAGGGATAAATCTCTCAACGTTTTTATTCAAAATACGACTGGAATAGTCTAAGTTTCCTTAAGTTACATACGAGGAATGATTTTCCAGCTGTTTAAACAAGACTCGGTGTTTTACAACGTTTATAGTAACGTCGAAAATCGTTTGTGTTGAAATTTAAGGCAAAATAAAGTAAAGAAAAATACTCTGTATTTTTACAAAAAAGCTGAGAGATGTATTGGCTACATCAGGTATATAGTATACGTTTTTAATATATACTTACTTCTAACAAATTCTAGTTATTGTTTACATATTCGCTCTTAAGCATTTAGTACCCACAACCCTGAAAATTTGTCACGACAAAGATAGGGGCTCTTTCGTGAGGTGCGCCACACTCGCACTACCACTACATTCTATTTTTACAAACTACAACACTTAACTCGCATGTTGTTTTTTAAGTAGGGAGGAAACCGAAGAAAACCTGAAGAAAAACCCTTGTTGCAAGGGAGAGTACAACACATCAAACAAACTCAACTCACATATGATCCAGCGCGAACCCGGACCATAGCGCGCGGTGAGAGGCGAGCTGTAAACCACACTTGTATCGTAATTGGAATCGGAAGCAAAATACGCAGACTCCGCATAACATTTATTACTTAGGTGTGAAAAAAGACAACCACTGTTAATGACCAGTGCACTACTTAGTAATGTTGCTTCTGCCGGACTCCGACGCTAGCGTGAACTAGGCTTAAATCGCTTTGAAATTCAAAACTTAACACGTATAATAGCTACAGAAAATTTCCAAATATTTTCGGATTACGAAAATAAATGCGATTGAAAAATTGGCAATGTCACGCATGCGTAAGAAGATTTTATGGAATCTTTTAAGCGTCAAAATCAGTCTCGTGCCCAGAGCCCCTGACCATCGCGGCCTCATCAAACCGCTATTTCCTTTGCTGCAAAACTCGATTTTAAGATCGATAGGGTCACCGTAAAATATTTTCATATCAATGAGAATTAAACAACTTTAACAAATGTGTTTCAATTTTAACGATTTTAAATTGTGACGGCCAATTATCACTTTGATCGTAAATTTTTCAGTTTTAAGGCTATATTGTGCAAGGGAGTATGGTAGTTAATGACGCCATCATGCAAACGTCCTATTCCCGATTGCCCTCGAATAAATTTATGATATTTGGTTAAGGTTATGCTGAAGGTTTTTTTTATCAATTGATGTGCTTGCGAGTACGTGACTTGAAAATCTCGCCTAGACGACGGTCCCGTCTTATGACGCAAAAGCAATTACAGTTACTATATATAGCGGTTGTCTGAATGTCAAGTCAAGGACCTTCATTAGTATAAAATATTGTAATTGTATTTAGGACCTATAAATACTACAAAAATAATTGTCGCATAATTTTAACCACGCTATTCTGCGACATCTATTCGCACGATATGATGTTTGTCACTTTGAAAATTTTCTAGAATGATTTTGCGTCTCCTGTCTCTCAAAAAAATATTTTTTACGACAACGAGAAGTTCGAGAAGAGCTCGGGTCGCATTGATGAGAGGCGAGCGCTCACACCACTACGCATATGCACCTCAAAAAAACGTTGTCGGTGGGAGATGTGAAATTTGAAATCTGAGACCGAGTGACACGCTATAAAATTTAATATTTTAAATGTCGAACAACGTAGTTTTCTTTTAAATTGGAATATGAAGCATGTCCTATGAGTTAGAACGTAAGTTTTCCGTATAGGTCTCAGCGCCTATTTCAGATCGCCGACCGTCAAGGTTTTGTAAAATTGATGTATACAGCTGTTTGGTATAAACGCAGAAAAAATATTAATAAGCAGTAGTACTTTTCCGACGTGGAAGACCAAACTTCATGATTTGTAACAAAACGACATGCGTGAGGACTTGTTATTAAGTCGTCGACATTTGTACTCTGCAACATTGTTGACAGTGTTGTCGATTTTAAAGTTTAGCGACGTTGGAATGAGCTTCGAGAGCAAAATGAAGGATCATAAGATGGATCGTTTTCTGCTAAGTGTACTTTAACTTAGCATGCATATCATTATATATTTAGGTATATTATACCCTGAGGCAACCAAAAACCCTTTAACAAAGCAGTTAAATATTCAATGACAAAAGACTATATTTTTTCTTTTGATTTTGCAATGACGTATGATGAAAGTCAAGCCAATGTGAAGTAACCATGGCAACGAAATCAATTAAGGTCAGAGCCACTTTAAACTTCTGCTTAATAATTTCGAATTTACGACGTGAAAGACCTACCTGGCTGATGTCGCTTGTCCAAGCAGCTTTTTCCTGCGCCGACGGTGCCATTAGTGTGATTGTCAGCGGATTTCCCTCTTTTTCACGTGACCTTACGATGAGTTTGAAAGTGAGGTCATCGAGGTCGTTGATGTCCTGGGCCGAGCGAACACCACAAAGTATTTCACCATCCAGATCACCTGGACAAAGATAAGGGAAAAACGTATTCTAGATTATTGCAGTGTGTGACGTCATAGACGCCATGTTGGTTGGCTTGAGCAAAAGATCTGATCCAACTTAGTCAATGAGGCAGCAAAACAACTGAATAGACCTTTTCAGCCTATTGTATTATGAATGTTTTTTTTCGATTATTATTATCTTAACGATTTAGATTTATATTTAGCTTCGTTGGCAAATTCCCCATTTCATATCACATGACATTCTCTTAAGTATTGCTCTTTTATGACGAACATGGTAAAATATTTACACATGAAAGAATCAACTCCCAAGAGTGGCATCACATGGTCTGGAATGTGCACAACAAACAACAAAACTAAAAAGCTCTATTCTGACCTTTATTGGCACACGGCGGCCATGTTTATTTTTCAAGAGGATTCTTTGTTAAACCCATATAAATTTATTCTCAAGCACTTAAATGTGAGGCTACGCGTGGTGGAATCTATCATTTCAAAGCAATATGGCTGCCGCGTCCTAAAGGGCCATCAATACACTTTGGTTAAGAGGTGGATTCAGATCAAAAAAGTATAATGATCGTTACCTTCATCAAAGCAGTCGTCTACCAACGTAGCATCCGCTAGAGAAATCACTGAACTACTCTGTAACATTAATAAAAGCATCTACTTGAAAATTAAAACTTATTTCAGTCCAAAGTGAAGATTTCAACCTGAGTAAAATTAATTTTTCAGTGCAAAAGTGATTAACAAACTGATTACACTCCATCCCACTCATTACGCGGACCATATCCACGCATTGGTGTAACAATGAGACAATAGCCCACGTCAGTAGACGTCTATGTACGTAATGTTTCAAAGACATTCAAGCAAACTATATCAAAATCTCGGAGTTTTAATTTTTAGAGAAATCTCGAATATCTATAAGAAGCTTGTTTGATTGAAATATGCGTCAAGCTAAAGTCGGCTCAGTCGGGTTGGTTCATTTTCACGTGCAGTGAAACATCACCCATGGCAACGACGCATTCTCGGTGCGTTTGTTTTGGTCCGCGCCAAGAAAAAAGGCATCTGATCTTGACTTCCCGTGCCGTCCTTTCACACTTGATTCCCTTCTCAATCAATACTTCTTTCAAGGGAACACAGACACGGGCGAAAAAACGCACTGCGCATGCTTGGAAGTTGGGCTGGAAATTCGCAAACACTTTGTGTTTACAAATAAAACCATTGGAGATTTACCGGCGTTTGGTAATTCTTTAAGTTAAAACCGTTCGTGGAAAGTTAGTGCTAATTTCCTCCTAAAATATCACTTTAGTTGTTTTCTTTCCCTGGTCAAATAATACGAGAGAAAAATTCTGGTAAATCTCCAATGGTTTTATTTGTAAACACAACGCGTCTAGAATTTCCCGCAGAACTTTCGAGCGAATCGCAGTGCGTTTTTTAACCGTGTCAAGGGCATACTATTGGGATTCGAAGTAAAAAGGCCAAAAGGATTGTTCACGTGAGTGATAACTGGGGTTTGTTTGGGTACGAAACTGCGAACTCTCAGCTCGGCTGATTTTCCGAACATGCGCAGTAGATCATCGCTGGTATCGATGAAGACGAAGAAAAAGATCATAAATACTTACTTTTCCGAGGTGTAGCCGACCACTTGACGAACGCGAAGTTAGCAACATGTAACTGGAGAACAGAAAACAGTGACGAACGCTTTCTTTTCGAGTTTCGCTTGACTTGAGCGATATGCCACCAAATGTTTTACCTTTACGACTCTCTGTGACTTGAATTAAGTTACCTACAAACATGATCATGGCATTCTGAGCTTTGCTTCTTGTTAAGTTACAGTCAAACTAAGAAAACCGTGAACAAATGCAGTCCGATTTCGACCGAATAACAAAAAATAATAAAAAAAGGGAAATGGAGACACTCATGGCAATTACTTTCACGATTGTTGGTTTCTAAACCTGAGTCCTTCCATGGCATGAAAAACGGCAATGCCAACGTGCGTATACAGCTATTTTTTAAAAAAGGTTGGTGAAGGTTTTGTTGCATGTTGCATGTTGCATGTTGTATGTTGATTGTTGCATGGTGCATGGTGCATGGTGCATGGTGCATGTTGCTTGTTGCATGTTGTATGTCGCGTGTTGCATGTCGCATGC